TCTTCATGCAGATCTCCATTTAGAAAAGTTGTCTTAAAATCCATCTAATGCAGTTCTAGATCAAAATGAGCAACTAGGGCCATGACTATCCTAAATGAGTCATTTGATACTAAAGAGAATGTCTATGTATAGTCTATTCCTTCTTTTTGAGTGTATCATTTTGCAATGAATCGAGCTTTATATCTTTCAATGTTCCCCTTAGAGTCTTGTTTGGTTTTAAATTTTTCATGGATTCAAGCTCATCCTTCATGGCTTCTAACCAATGAGTTGATTCCCTTGAGTTGATGGCCTCAATAAATGATACAGGATCATTTTCCAAATTCAACTCATGCTCACACTCATTTAAATAGACTTCATAGTCATTTGATAGTGTCGATCTCCGAACTCTTTGATATCTTCTAAGTGAGATTTGTTCTTTTGGCACTGTATTTTCAGTAATTTCATTATTCTAGACACCTTGTGTATCAGTCTCAAGAGTTTCAATTGGTATAATTCTTTCCTGTATGACTGGTACAGGTATGATCACTGGATTTTCCTAAAAGGTGACATGCCTAGATCTAGAGCTCCCACTAAAATTCCCAAATTCCAAAAATTTGGCTTGTCTAGATCCCACAATTCTAGTATTCAAAGTAGGGCAAAAGAATTTATTACCCTTAGATCTTTTAGGGTAACCACTAACTGTCTTGGGATCCAGTTTACCTGATTGTGAGTTATGTACTTTTACCTTAATTGGACAACCCCAAACACGTAAATACCCCAATTTGGGTTTCCTACCAGTCCATAATTCATATGGGTTATTGGGGACTACTTTAATAGAAGCCCTGTTGAGAATATGTGCAGCTGTCTTTAAGGCTTCTCCCCATAAATTCTCAGGTAAACTTGAGAATATGTACGATTTCGTTGCTCAGCTACTCCATTATGCTCAGGTGTACTTGGCATAGCGCAGTTTGCAACAATCTCATGTTCTCGTAGAAATAAGGCAAAAGCACTTGGATTTTGTCCTGTTTCAGTGTATCTACCATAATATTCACATCATCTGCTAGACTGTATACTTGTGATCTTTTTATTGAGTTGATTTTCAACTTTTGTCTTGAAGATCTTGAAAACATCAAGTGTTTCTGATTTCTCATGAATCAGATATACATAATTGTATCTGGAGAAATCATCTATAAAGCTAATGAAGTATCTATGTCCTCCCATAGTAGGAGTAGGGAATGGTCCACAAATATCTATGTGTATTGTTTCCAGTAACTTTACACATCTTGTGGCTCCCCTTTTAGTGGTCTTGGTGAATTTCCCCTTTATACAATCCACACTTATGTCAAAGTAAGATAGTCTAGTGAATTGAGGATTCCATCTTTTGTAAGACATTCCATTATTTCTTTAGAAATGTGGCCTAACATTCTATGTCATAGAATGGATGAATTATCACACTCGATTTCTTTTATTTTCGACCGTATAGTTCTCATGCACTCTATATGGGCCATGAGCAAAGACAATGTGCAAATTAATCTTACAAAGATTTTCGTATAACACACTACACCCAACTTTAATAAAATTATGGAGTAGAATAAAACTTTTGTTCTTAAACTTAAATTCAAAGCCATAAGAATCAAGTTTAGGAACTAAAATAAGATTTATCTTAAATGTAGGTACATATAGTGTATCTTCTAAGTCTAGATGAAAGCTAGTATCCAAAATGAGACGATATGTTCCTACGACTTCAACATCTATCTCTATTCCATTGCCAACGGCTACGATGCGTTCTCCCTTATGCAACCATCAGTTTGTCAGAAATCCTTACAGAGAAACCGTGACATGAGTTGTAGTGCCCATATCCACCCACCAAGTATTAAATGGTGCACTAACCAAATAGGATTTATAAAACATACAGGCATAATTCTTACCTTTCTTGTCGAGCCATGCCGCAAATTTGGGACATTCTTTCTTTACGTGTCCCTTCCTTTTATAGAAGAAGCAACGAGCTTTATGACCCCCACTTTCTGCAGCAACGACATTTTCTTTGCCCTTTCTTTGAGTTTTCTTCCTAAAATGTCTCTTATGTGGTCCAGTGGTTAGGTGAGCACTTTCAAGCATTTCACTCTTAAGCCTTTATTCTTCTTGAACACACATGGCGATTAGCTCGCTCATTTTCCATTTCTCTTTCTGCGTATTATAGTTGATCTTAAATGGATCAAATTGTGTAGGAAGATAAGTCATAAAAATGCACAAGTAAACCTTCGAATATTTCCATATCCGTTCTTTTTAGTTGGTTTGCCATGTCACTCATTTTCATAATGTGCTCACATACCCCATTGTGACCATCATATTTCATGGTGATCATTTTGATCATGAGGGTGATTGCCAATGTTTTTGTGGAGCCAGCAAAGTGTTCTTCTACTGCCTTCAAATAATCCATTGCACTTTCCTTTTCAGGAATTGCACCACAGATTGCAATAGAAATGGTGTTCCTTATGATCATGAGACTCATGCGATTGGAATGTTCCCACTTTTCATAAAATGCATTTTGCTCACTAGTACTGTCACCAGTGATTTCAGTGGGTTTGTCTGTTCTAATTGCAAGATCCAGATCCATGCACCTAGAACAATCATAATCTGGTCTTTCCACTTGTTAAAATTTGTACTAGTTAATATTTCAATCCCTAATAGATAACTAGTAACTATTGCTGGATTAACAACTGCAAGTTTCATAATAAACATACAAAATGTCATACCACATAAAATATACACACATATCAATAATCTAACTTAAAATGGGGTAATCATCAGTTAGATCTCATCAAGACCATTGCATAATCCTGATTAGGTCTTGACCTAAGATCAATGTAGGATATCGTTCCTTTGTTGGGCTAAACGTTAATTCTACAAATGATCTCAATGGCCCAAACTAAGTAAGTGATTCTTTTAGTTGGGTAAGCTCATCACCATTGGGTTACAAGTTTCCCCACGTAGAACCCCTTATTTAGTATTTCCATCTCACTCTAACTATTCAAAGTAGTGTTCTTCCGTTGGACCGATCTGCTACCCATCATAATTAAGTGCAAAGATGTGACTTATTTATAGAGGAGAACCTCACAGTCACGTCCAAATAAAGACAATATATATATATATATGCATAACAATCATTACAATCCCTTTTACGAGAACAAATAATAGGCATTCTAAGATTGATAAGCAATTATGCAAAACTTGCAAAAACCAGCAGAATAATTGCTAAATCATAATGAAAGAGAGAACAAGAGTAGACAATGGTGGTTGCTTCTTCTCTCTCTCTCTCTCTCTCTCTCTCTCTCTCAATAGTCAATGTAACCTCATCATTCCCCATTAAACCCTATTTTCTTTCCTCATCTTAAAACCCTCTCAACTTTCAACTTTGTTTAATGAATCAAGGGTTCGTTTGGTTCACAGTTGGAATGGGAATGATCTATTCCTCCCACTTGTTTGGTTTAGAGGCGAATTGGAAACAAAATCGGAATCAGGGGAGGGGGAGGGAATGAACATTCCCTTAAATTGGGAAATGTCATTCCATCAGGAATGAGAATGAGATTTCAATTCCACCTAGCTAAATGTTTGGAATTGTAATCAATTTTGATTCCACCCAACCAAACAGTTGGAATTGGAATGGTCCATTTCAATTCTTATACCAGACCCTATTCCTATGAACCAAACAGACCCTAAGGTCTAAGGTGATAAAGTGGATAAGTTGATCAAGATTAAGAGTCGACCAAAGACTAACCTTAGGCATGGACCTTGGGCTCGGACCCAGACCAATGCTAAAGCCCGAGTTTGCCAACCTAAATCCAATATTTAAACTAAACCCAATATAATTTGGTTGAGCTTGGGCAAGTAGGTACTAGGTAGTTCAGATTTAAAAGTGTTTCCTCTCAAGTTTGGCACTCTTTAATTTACATTCTGATGGAATAATAAGCTGGATATCACTGGTACGAGGATATGATGGTATTTCTGACCCTTTTGGGCCATCTGTTGGCCCATTCATGCTCTTTTTGTTTTTTTTGTAAAAACAAAATCAAACATGTTGCCAAACACCCCTTTAATTTCTTTGCCAAGACAATAAAAAAGCACATCGAGGGTTGGAGACATGTATCCTACCAAATGCATTTTATATGTTAAATTTAACTTTAGGATTTAAGGTTTAGTGTTTAGAGCTAGGGTTCAATGTTTATAATCTAGGGTTTAAATGTAAAAACCATAAGGTAGGACCAAAGTAATGCTATCCTCTCACCCACCACTGTGTTAAAGAGGAAGAGGATCTATCTACTATCAACTGGGCCTCCTCTAAGAGAGTAATATCATTGATTACATTAAATGAGAAGAATTGGTTTTCTTAAGGTTCTGTTTGTTTGTAATGAAATTTCATTTGTACTAGCATGGGAGTGCAAAGGAGAATTTCGCAAAATTTGTTTTTTTTTTCATTGGTCTTTAAATAATTATGCTTTAGTTTTTATTTTACTCCATATGCACTACAAACAAACAGAATAAATTTATACCTATAACAAAATTAAACCAAAATTGCACTCCAACTCATTGCACTTTTATACTTTTGCACTAATACAAATAAAATTGCACTGGAAACAAATAAAGGTCTAAATATCAATGTTTAGAGGGGGCCAATTCAGGCTTGGAGAAGAGAGTGTTGTAATTTGAGTGGGTTGTTTCAGTTTTAGAGCCAACAATCCCAACCCAACTAAGGATTGGGCCCTTCAGGATGGGCTAGTTGGCTCTCACAATAAAACGACCCACTCAAAATCCGAACTTAGAAGATACATGGGTCAGATTTGGTCGTCAGGATGGGCCATTTCGAAAATCCAAGTTCAACTTTGGGCTAATAAATGGGCTCCTTGTTTTCAAACACTCAGGTAGGGCAGGCCCCAGCCCACAGGCCCGCACGATGGAGCTGGAGCATGTACCCCTGTATTTGTATTGTCGTGCAGGAGAATCTTCGTTACCCGCCAATTTCAGGCTTCTTTTAGGTTTGGCGCGAACATCAACAGCTCAACGAGTATCTTCTCTTCTTCCGCAGCTCTGCTAATCCTACGCTTTGGAAGATTCTTCTTCTTCTTCTCTACGTTATCTGCTAAAAATGGCAGACTTTGCTACCCAGATTAAAGAAATTGAAACCTGGCTTTCTTCGCGAACTAGAGAAGAGAAATCTTTCGGTTATTTAACCCTTCTACACCTTCAAGAGCAATCAACAGTGGATCCTTCTGCGATTCAAGCCCTCTCCGAGCGGTTTCAACCTCTCCTTTCTTTGATCATGTCTGATCTCTCTGACGATGACGAAGAAATGTAAGTCTCTATAAAATTTACTCTCTTTATTTTCGATTTCAACCTTGGTTTGTCATGTTTCCAATCCCCCCTCCCCCCCCCCAAAAAAAAATGCTATTTTTCGATTTCTTGGGTTTATTCGTTTGTTTCATTTTCAGTGCTGCCCCGGCTTTGAAGTGCCTGGGTTTCATGATCTACCACCCTTCCCTCGTTGCCGCCATTCCGGGTATGCCTTCATCAATCTATGCTCTCCATTTTTTTTTCTTATACAATTTGTAGTACTTTTTATATATGCTGCCACAACTCACTTCCTACTTTGTTAAGTTATGAGATGACTAGCTTTGACGTGCATACATGATTAGCTGAAGATCTCTATATGCTTATGTTTGGTGTGTACATTGTCATGGGACCTTGGGACCTATTGATCTAAACCCATAATTGTTATGGAAATCATGTTTTATATATGTTGAATATCAGAAGGAAGTTACTATAGATAACGCCCATGTTTAAGAATTCCTTTATATGGGTGCACAAATTCGCTGGACTGTCCCACTTCTAATCTATCAAAGCCATAAAGTTTTTCTCGCTCCATTGTATACACTTGTTTTGACTATTTGATTACTAAACCTCTAAACAAGACCTTCTGTAGGAGAAATGACTATGTTTTAGTACTAAACATATTAATTTTCCAACTTATCAGAATGAAGCTGTTCTCTTTCCATCTGGAATTTGTACAATACATAGAAAATTCACAATTATGATAGTAAGATCAAGTTTGTCCTACAAGAAATTTTACAACTTCAGATCTTATCTGTCAAGCCACCAAGATGTCAAAAACGTAGCCACCCACTGAAATCAAGATGAGAACCTGCATTCAAATCAGTAATTAAGTCAAAATCATTATTGATCTAATTGTTAGACAGTTTTGTATGCCCTTAGCTTTAATCAGAATGATGTACTTTATGAGTTTATTGTAAATGAATAAAAGTGCATATTTGATTCATGTTCCCTTGGTATGTTTCTATGTAATACCCTTAAACTGGACACTTAATGAGACTCGTGTTA